TATTTATTTATTTAATAATATATAGAAATTATATAAAAAATGAAAAATATGCATATTATTACCTAAATGTAAAATGTCTTTTCTGGTTATACAGTACCTAGACGCAAGAGAGGAATCCAGCGCCCCTTGTTTTCCTCTTTCCTTATATTATTATTTTTTTTCAGATCAAGAATTAGTGTCTGACAATAGAAATTTGAATTCTTATAGTATCTTTTGTTTGAGGAGAATGAATGAGAGGATTTGTTAAGTAATTAAATTATAATATTTTTAAATATTGTAATTTGATTTTTTTAAAAGGTTTTTTTTTTTTCTTTCAAACCAAACATACTCTTAAAATTTTATGGTTTATCTAACTTCTACTCTTATAACACAGGTTAAACATATAATAAATGTATATTTTGTAATTAATTTACATAAAAATTTTAAAAATTAACATTTATTTCAATATTATTGACAAGTGAGTGATTTTAATTAGTTAATTGATTAATTTAAAGTTAACAATTATTTTTTTTATGTAAATTAATTATAAAAAATAAATTAATTACATTTTTTAACCTATACCTAACTATATAAGTTAGAGATTTCCTAATTTCAATCCTCGATTAAAAATGTTAAATAGATAGCTGTTAGCTCGCCAAAGTTTTGTTGGATGTCTTATTTTTTCTAAGTTAAAAAACTGTTATTCATATAAAAAATTAGTAAGATTGAATTTACAAACAGTGTAATAATGATTTGGTTTTTCCTACATTAGCCTATTTTGAGTTTATAAAGGCTTCTTCGTGTATATATATATATGGTTAGTACTTGTTTGCCTTACCTCTAAAAATTAGGAGAAAAAATGACAAAAATTACTTTAATGCATGTTTAAAAATAAGGTAGTTTAATTTTTTTCAATAAAAATTTATTGAAACGACATAAGTTTTAGATGATTGTTCTCTTAATTTTTAAAAAATAAGACTGATAGATATTATGTTCTTTATATATATATATATATATATGGTTTGTAGGCTTATGAGAAATTAAGTTCCTTTTCTCCACGCTTGGAGCACGTGTCACCGCCTGCCTTTGTGGATGTTCACCAGAACTGAGGTCATGTGTTCGAACCTAGATCATCCCCCTCCCCCTTCGGAGAAAAAATTCACATAATTGTAATGTCATCCTTTAAAAAAAATTCCCTATGCCTATAATAAAATAAGGCAAAAAAAATAAACAAATTGAATAAAACGAGAATCAAAGAGAAGTACGTAGATGCTGTTATCGTGTCAGGTTATTTTTCTAAGTTTTCTTTTAAGGATTTATATAAAAATTTTTTATTAATATTTTGAAAATTATCAATTATTATATTAAAAGTTATATTTATATAACTAATGTATGTTAATTTTTATATAAATTGAATATTTATAATATTTTTTTAAAAAAACCTTATTTGTTCACATATATTTAATGATGATGAATTTTGTATAATCAACAAAATGATTAAGTATACTAAAATAATTTAACAATTGACATACATAATTTTTGGATAAAATGTAAAATTTTATTTACCCATTAAAACTAACATATACACATAAGCAGCAAGTTAGTTGCTACTACAATCAATTACAACTCCAACCAAGGAAAGAATTCATCTAAGACTGTACTGGTGGTTTTAGAACTTGTACAAGTCCGCACTACACTACTATAGACATTGGTAGTGAAGAGGACTTTTGGAGTTGCAAAGACTAAAACTTTGTTCCTCACATCAAAAAGAATATCATTTACAATATGTGAAACTAATCTGAATCGTTGTCTGTAAACGTTACTGCTCCTTTCTCTCCAAACATGATACACAGTAGCATTCCATGCAAGCTGTGTAAGAGCACAATATAGGGACTTCCTTCTAATCCTTTTCCCCAACCAAGCTAGTAGCC